TTTATAGTTTTCTATATATAGGTCTTTTGTTTTTTTAGGTAGATATACTCCTAAGTATTTTATTCTTTTTGTTGCAATGGTGAATGGTATTGTTTCCTTAATTTCTCTTTCTGTTTTCTCATTGTTAGTGTATAGGAATGCAAGGGATTTCTGTGTGTTAATTTTATATCCTGCAACTTTACTATATTCATTGATTAGTAATTTTCTGGTAGAGTCTTTAGGGTTTTCTATGTAGAGGATCATGTCATCTGCAGACAGTGAGAGTTTGACTTCTTTTCCAATCTGGATTCCTTTTATTTCTTCTTCTGCTCTGATTGCTGTGTCAACCAGGACTCTTGAGACTGAAAAGAGGTGCTTCATTTTTACTGTAACTGTTGGTCCAATGAGGAATCGTCCTGATAAAATCAGGCTGCGCGGCTGTTCAAGTCCCAGGACAAACGTTGTGGAATGTGTGTCCCTCTCACTGTGCTCAGATCTGTGTTCAGGATACTTTTCTGTTGGATAATTTATAATCCTATTGATTTGTAGGAATTTTTAATATCTTGATATTAAGAAGTGTAACAATGTCAAGCGTTGGTGACTGTGCTGAACGGGAAGAACACTTACACTCACCACTACCAGGTGTGTGAATTGGGGCATGGACTTAGTGAAACAGTGCGGTGTTAGCTGATGAAGAATTGTACTGTCCACGACGCCCCCACGTGCTTCACTTTTAATAATATGAGTGAGCTTTCACACATGCAGCAGGCGGCACATACAGGAGTATTCATAGCAGCACTCCTCAAGAAGGATAGATACATCAGGACTTCCCCTGGCAGTCCAGTGGTTGAAACTCTGTGCTCCCAATACACGGGGCACAGGTTTGATCCCTGGTCAGGGAACTAAGATTCCACATGCCACATGAGGTGGCCAAAAAAAGAGAAGGGATAGTAGGTTGTGGAACCATCACACACTAGAGCATCGTCAGCAAAAATGAGGAATTACAGCTTCATGCTGCTTACAGGAGTGAGTCTCAAGGTTAAAAGCAGAGGAGAAATTAAAGTAAAAAGCAAAAATCTAACATGTTGTTTGAGGAAATACACAAGGAAAATGAAAGAAGAACAAGAGTATGACAGATCTCAGAATATTAGGTCTGAAAAGGGAGTTAGGATGTATTATATCAGCCACAGGTTATAAATATTGTGTTACTCAGTGTTTGAAAAAAATGGTTTATAGAAAATTTGCCTTCAGAAGAGTCAGAGAGAGTGACAAGAACCTTCTAAGGTTTTCTAGGGAAAGAAGTCAGGAGACAGGTGGGACTTTCGCTACTGCCCACTTCCACCTAGATCCCTCCTTCTTTCGTGCCGGGGGGTCGGGGGGGTGGCGTGTGTGTTGCAGTTAACTTCGTTTCCTCTGTCATTTCATGGAGTGCAGGGTAGTGACTCAGACACAGTAGCACTCAGCTGATAACGATTACTGATTTGCAAGACTTTTCTGCCCAACACTTCAACCTCTGGTAATGGTTTCTAACAAAAGTGTAGTTTCTGTTTAGAAACTATGGTAAACAATTTAATTTTTACTCTGGATGGGGCATCATCTGTGTAGAAGGTATCACTAGAAAAGAGGTGGACTTTAGTTTTTAAAGTCAGATTGAAATGGAAACAGTTACTGAAGAGAATCAAAATATTGTTACAGACTGAGTGTTCCTTTTTACTTGACTTTCTTTCTTTTAGATGGTGTTCTCTTTAAAAATATATTTTAAGTGAGTTGGTAAACACGGAATTGCTTGTCAGAGAGTTTTATTCTTTGCCGAACTATTCAGAAAGGCTCACTTCAGTTCAGTCACTCAGTCGTGTCCGACTCTTTGCAACCCCATGGACTGCAGCATGCCATGCCTGCCTATCCATCACCAGCTCCCAGAGCTTGCTCAAACTCGTGTCCATCAAGCTAATGATGACATCCAACCATCTCATCCTCTATCCCCTTCTCCTCCCGCCTTCAATCTTTTCCAGTATCAGGGTCTTTTCCAATGAGTCAGCTCTTTGCATCAGGTGGCCAAACTATTGAAGTTTCAGCTTCAGCATGAGTCCTGCCAATGAACACCCAGGACTGATCTCCTTTAGGATGGACTGGTTGGATCTCCTTGCAGTCCAAGGGACTCTCAAGAGTCTTCTCCAACACCACAGTTCAAAAGCATCAATTCTTCGGTGCTCAGCTTTCTTTACAGTCCAACTCTCACATCCATACATGACCACTGGAAAAACCATAGC